CGAGGATAACTGTTTGCTAAAACAACTGCACGGCAATCTCTGGCCGGAGTGGGCGGGAGCCAAATTCGACATGCGCGATCACGACTCGGATCGGGGGGAACCACGCCGTTACATTTACGGAATCCCCATCATAAACATGTCCTGACATTACGTGGAACCACGTACAGATGCATCCCTCCAAAAAACAGCCTGGCTAAATTTTTTTTCTGCTACGTCGTACGAATTTGAATAGTGCCATATCATCTGAACTTGTCCGATTTTCCTGAACACTGGCTTTTAATTAGGCCCTGTGCAGTCAAATATTGACCTACCAGAAAATCTTGTCAAAGGTTATCCATTATTGTCGCGTTGCTCTATCGCTACTCCCTTTGGAAATGGCATGGTGTCGTCCCGATCCCCCCTCTGCGCTCGTTTGCGTTACAAAAGTGTCGGATTCAGGGGAGCGTTAATATCCCAGCCATCTGTGTATCGGAAGCCGGAGACCCGCCATCAGACGGAGAACCGTGTCAGCTGAAAAAGTGAAAGATATAAAGGCGGACATGCGCAGTCCTTTCACTCACATTAGCCGCCGGCATCTCACTCCGAACAGGTAGACACGCTGCTGAGGACGTGGAGTGGCGTCCGATGGCGGCGCTAGTGCAGTGTCTGATACTATTTCGGAAGCGTGGCGCGCTCCATAGGCTCGACGGCGACAGTGCGGTCCCGTGTGCTCTCATCACTGGCGGTGGAGTCGACTGGCGTCACCGGCTGCAGGCCGTCTCTGCGACTGGTGACCTGCCGGCCGGTGACCCAGGTCCGCCAGGCCGCACCGGTCGACAGTGGTGCGAGTGACTCCGTGCGCCGCTGGGACTGCCGGCTGGCGGGGCGTGACCGGGCCAGGGGCGCCGAGCTGGCGCCGGTCGGTGTGTGTCCTGGACTTGCATACCGCCCGGCATGCTGATCGCTGGTCTGGTGCCGAGGCTTCCTGTACGGCAGCTTTCTGAGCTGGCGCACCGGTGACATGAACAGCTAACAGCAAGGAAGATAGCAGCCACATCCCAGTCACAATCATTTGTTGAGTTCGGTGATGGGCCACAGAAATTATTGATCCAAGCCTATCGCATCAGGAAGTCGGGGCAACGTCATGACGCACACTATGTTGATAGCGCCGTGCTAGCAGTGCGAAGGAGGATCCCGTCACAGATATACGTTTACTTACCTTAACAACTTTGAGTACAGTTACCAGCTTAGTCACTTGGCAACAAAAGTCGAGACAACTTAAGATGGCAACAAAACTTTTAGTTACTTGCTACAACTTTTAGCTAATAAAAAGTCCTGACAACTTCTCCAAGTGAATCATACACGCTATAGATGTGCTTTCTTTGATATATCATATATATAACATATATATATATATATATATATATATATATATATATATATAATACATATCACTGAGAACATCCGCGATATCCACAAAAATGCAGATGCGGTTGTCGCCGGTTTTTGTATCTGTCCACGATGCGGACTGACATGTTGCTTACGCACAATGTCGTAATCAGCGTTTTCACAATTTCCTATTTATTCGGGCAGCGGAAAGCGGGCGGCATTTTTACGACATCGTGTTTGGTTCGGTGTTATCCGGAATACCCTCTGAGTCTCAGCCGTGTGGGGCGCGGGCCGATGGCAACGAACAGATGCGTAACATTGTGTAGGCGGCCATGGAACATCCCACCCGAATTTCGTGCCGTCAACAGTCCATGTTCAGCAGCGATTGTCCAGGTGTTCACGAAAGCTTGCGGATTGAGGTGTTGGCATGTGTTTGGCACTAGCATCGCTGTAACTGTTATTGTTCCGTTTCAGATTTCGCCATGAAGTTGATCGTCTGCATTGTGCTGGCTGTGTCAGCCATGGTGGCTGCCGACGAGGGCTTCTTTCCCCAGTCTGCCCAGTCAGCGCCCGATACCTACAGCAACTACAACTATAACAACTATTACGATCACCAGCCTCCCAAACAGACTGGGTAAGTCCGACTGCGTCGTTTGTACGTTCCGGTACACTGATGTGGTAATGGTCCAAAAATGCAAATGACATCATGATTGACCTCATGGAGGGTAGATGTGCCCTGATAAATCCAAGTATGCTCTTCGACAGAAGCGTGCAGTGGATCGTGGTCATGGGCAGTCGGCTAGTCCTCTAGGATTTTGGATTAGTTTGCCGGTCGGGATCACGGGGTCACGAGGTCACCACGAACGTTTTGATGCACGATTTGGAAGTCATTCTCAGATGGCGCGGTTCCATTGTTCGGACAATGACGTGTGGGTTGAAATGCATGCTACGACATTAAATCTTGAATGATGTGAAACATTGGGCTCCGTACCGTAAACAACTTGGGTTTGGGTCAGAATGAAGTGACTACCAGCGCTAAACTCCGTATGAGAAGGACATCGCGGAACTGAAGATCAACCGCGAACGATAGATTGACTCTCCTGGTTTGTTTCAGGTGGCTGGACCGCCTGTTCGGAGATACCCGACGTCAGGGATTGGGAGGCCCTCCTCGGAGGACTTGGTGGACTTGGAGCCGGCCGTGAGAGACCCATCTGGCGTTTATTTAAATACCATCATGAGTGACAACGGAGAGCTGTATTGCGTGCTCCGCACCTTTGAAAGTGACATTGGAAATACTATCTAGGGAGAATAGCTCTGGCTGCGTGACGCACCGCTACGCCGATGACAAGTTGATTTGGCAGTGATTGTGCCGATCTGAGGCCTCGTTGGTGCTAAGATTTCTGAACCATGCACGAGCCGTGACCGGCTCTGAACGCGGGTGAAGAGGCAGCTGGTTTTGCAGGCCTGTTCCAATAACAGATGGCTGCGTCGGTAACGCCGCTGTCGATGTTACCAACGGCCCCATCATCGGAGTGGTGGTCGCCGTCGTTGCTGTGGTCGCGGTTGTGGCGGGCATCGGCTACGTCGTCACCACCATCAACTCATCTGGCCGAGGCCTGGACACGGACGAATGGGAGGTGAACCACTCGGTCTGGATGGACCAGCTGCAGCGGGACTTCGAGGACTCGTGGTCGACGCAGTAGGCCTGAGACGTACATCATTTGCAAACGTCGCAGTTGGCACGCGCGGAATCCATCGCGCGCCGCGGGCTGCGTAGCATGTCTCGATATGGGGGAGAAGTGTTTCTGTTCTCCGAAAATTGCTCACTGAAGGGATCAGAAGCTCTAACTCCATTTGCCCTGCAGGCCCGTTTTGCATGCTCTCTAGTCAAGGCATTCAGACTAAGGTTGCGACCGTGGGGTCTGCATGACACTATTTTTTTTAAATCAGCGAATGCTTTCTTATGATGTAATTTTTGCAACGCTCCAGTCCACAAATATGCTATTGATTTTACTCCGGATGTAAAACGTGACGAATCCTACCCTCCACCAATCTCTCTGGATTTTCAGCTTTTTCGCCTCCAACTTTAGTCAAAAGTTTCAACCAATAGTGAGACAAGAGCTCATAATTAGCTGTCATAATTGGTACTTAAGCACGGCACATATAAAAGTCGGCAATGCACACCTGTTTTAACATGATTGATTTGCTTAACTCACTTTGAAACGCAAAGCCGTCGCATGCAGTAAGCACAATGCGCCCGATGGGTCGAACTGTTTGCATACCATTGACGACGGACTAAAACTGCCTGCGTTGTCTTTCAGTCCTGTTGTTATGGCAATTCGCCAGTCGCCAGACGTCGTCAGTTTTGAAGACTTGTTTGTTTTGCCAATTTGTTTTTTGTTTTTAATGTTTTGTGCTGTTGTGCGCTTGTTTTTGTTGCGTTGGAGATATGACAAGCCTGTTACGCCTGCACTACTGATAATTGTGTTGACCATTGTAATACAGTGGACCATAAACGTGAGCGGCTTGAATGAAGACATTATATTTACAGTCCCAGCTTGGCCGACCGACCTCATCGGTAGTCCGAGCTGTTACGAGTCGTGCTTGGGTGTGTTGGCCGCTCCGGGGTGTGGTCGATTTTAAACAGATCATCAGAAAACGAAGGTTCCACTGCAGTAGCTTGCGTCTCAGTTAAGACTGAAAGTTGACATATATTGCTTCGGAGATGACTGTGCCACGACAAACCACAGGACGTAGTTTGCCAACAACTACAACTACAAAACACGAAAAACCACAGAGGTGGCACCTGGCCCACGCACTGAAGAACAGGCAGGCCTATCGAAGGTTCTCAAAACTTACCGAGGGGTCGATCTTGCCTCTGCAGAGAGCAGGGAGAGGGAATGGTTCATCTGCATGAGAACAGCAGGGCAACGTATCTAAGCAGATTTACTAATTTCACAGCATAACAACGCGTCTCAATCGACATTCACAACACAATGTCGCATCGGAGCACAGCACAGCAGAGCGACGCAACCCACAGCTGGATGACGCAGACTAACCATCCTACAGCAGAACAACGCTTCGCATGACAGAGCGACGCATCTCCATTAACATACCCTGACGACAAAAGCCGGAACTCCCAAATCAACACCACAAACGAACTTTGTAGCCATAACACAGCACGACAGAACGACGCATCTCAATCAGAACGATAGAACATATTCCACAGCAGAACGACGCATCGCGATCGACACAAACATGAGATCAGATCTCCAATTCAGCCACAACGCAAACTTACGTCAAATAACAACGACGCTTCAGCACCGCACTCACTCACTTTGAATTGCGCGTCATCATCACCGATCGGCAAGCTTCTTCGTGCCCCCTCCTTAGTGTCCCGCCCTCTGGTCAGAACCCAGTGCGACCTGGATCAAACACCGCAATCGTGCACCTGCAGCATGAAGTGTTGCAGGTGGACTGGTGGCGGGTTGCGCTCGACCAGGCCCAGTGGCTGAGCGAAGAATGTGTATGACACCCGCCTGCAGCTGACAGCCGCTTCTATCTCTCCCACCTCCGCCACCGTCATCCTCCTCCGCCTTACGGTAAAACGGCTTCCAGCCAGGCCACTAGCCTCGACTGCCAGTTGTCCCCGACAGCTTGGGACAGGGCAGGTCACAGCACTGAGGTGTCCAGAGCAGCGCATCTAAGGAAAATCCCAACAGCAAGCTGTTCAAAGCCAGGATGTGAGTGATAGTTTGACCCCTCACTGCAGCTTAGTACATGAGCTGTTACAATGGTCACATCCAGGATTGAACACTCGCTGTGGGGGTCGTGGACGGCGGGTGCCCAGAAGGATAGAGTGGTAGCTAGGGGCAAGAGAGAGAGAAGATAGAGAGAGAGAGATAGAGAGAGAGAGAAGAGAGAGAAGAGAGAGAGGAGATAGAGAGAGAGAGAGAGAGAGAGACGAGCGAGAGAAGACGAGAGGACGAGAGCGAAGATAGAGGAGATAGCTGAGATAGGAATAGAGAGAGAGATAAGAGAGGGCTAGCCTCGAGAACTAGTATAAAGACTGCGAGATATATCTCGATATCTATATTTATCTCTATATTCTTATATATATTCCTTATATATATTACATGTGCAATGTACGTCGCCACCGCCACCAGGGGCGGAAGGAGGACGTGCACAAGCCTACTTGGTGCCAGGAACACCCCCCTCTGCTCCCCCCCTGGCAAGCACACCAAGCTCTATGCATTAATCCATAGTGACCAGATGAGCCACGATTCACAAGTCAGGACCCATTGTCGACATGGGGTTCCCTGTTGGGCACTGTGGTTTCCTGGTCAGCACAGGTGGCCCTTCACCGTTTCAGGGGACCAGCCAATGCAAGAGGCCTTCTGATTGACATTTGCAAACCCGCCATTGCCCCTGACTGCGAAAAGACCTCCTAGGGGCCTAGACCGGCATAGAATCCACTGTTCGGTATTGGTGGTCTCTGTCAACTGGTATAAAACCATCACTGTCTCGGGGGCCCGCGACCGGTGCAAGAGACCCTCTCACTGATGTTTTAGGGTCAGGACTGAGCTACCTTGGATATGACCTCCCGCCTGCCCATCTGACCCTAAAATCGAGCTCTTTGTCGTGGGCCCAGTGAGCGTTTGTACATAGTTTCTTCCAAAAAATAGAGACTATTCGTGACGCCCTGGCATTTGTCCCCACCTGAAAAAGAAGATTTTGCTATCCTTAGTGGTGCCCTCTGGAAATGGGGGCCTCTTACAAATAAAGATTGCCATGCCCCAAAAGGAAAGCTTTTGGTGCCCCGCACCGAGGTGACTGGAAATTGTGGTGTCCCTATATTTGGTGCCACCTGAAATCAAGACTTTGCGGCCCCTGGCATGGCCCGCTTTAATTTGGTGCCTTTAGTGAACAAATGTTATGGTACCCCGAATTTAATATTTTGGCGCTTTTTCGCCGGATGAACGTCCAAGGATTTAGTGAATTGAAAGACACGGGCACAATGTTGTCCCTTGCAATTTGTTGACTCTTGAATATAAAGTCCTTCGGATCCGTTTTGGTGCTGCCTGGAATTAGGCGGCTCTGGATAATGAAGTTAATGATGCGCCGAAACGAAGCTTTTGGGGTCCCTCCACCAACCGGTAAAATCCAGTATTTTTTCGGGGTGAACGGTAAAATAATTATGGTGCCCATGGATTTTAGTATCCTTAAAAATAAGAGCTTTGGTCTCTTTAAATTGCCCACTTTGATTTGGCGCCTAATGAAAATAAAGATCGTAACACTCAGAAATACTTCATTTCGAAATCAGAAGGAAAGAAGGCTTTGGTGCCCCCTCCCCCAAGCGGCCCATCCGGGGATTCGTCTTGGTGGGAAACGGAACATTATTGTGCCCCTAGAATATAGCTCCTCTTGGTAATAATTGTATGAGGCCGTTGTGGTGCCATCTGGAAGGGAGCACACTCGAAAAATAAAAGCGATAGTGCCCCGAATTGAAGGTTTTGGTGCCCGGTCAACCTGTGGTTTTAGTGTTCCCTAAGGCAGCAAAGCCTCGTGGGGCCCCAAAGGGGCAGGGGATGGCCCCATACCCCCTCCCATACAGATGATCATATCATTGCCCTTGTGCAGACGGTATCTTTGTGGAAGTTAGGGATATGGATCACCTAAGACGTCTCAAAAACACATTTGAAGAGCAATCTGATCTAAAATTCACAAAATAACTAGGCGTGCAAAACTGATACCCTTTCCTGACGTGACTGCTGATTGACAAGGAAAATGATTCAAAACGACTGTATAACGAAAACAGACTAACAACGGACGGTGCTTAAATGCTGACAGCGAGTGTCCTGGACGCTACAGAATTAGGGCCATAGGGACCTTCATTAGACGTGCATTTAAGCACTGTCCTGATTGGACAGGACTGCATTTATAATAATGAGAATCGGACAGATCTTAGTGAACAGCGGTTTTTAAAGTTCTGACGTTGAAAACGAAATACAATGACATATGACAAGATACCTTGACAGCAAACCAAGGTAAGACATCCCACCAACCGTCAAACTGTATTATCGAAATCAAATGACATCTGCCCACAAACAAGACGAAAATGCTTTACGGGAAATTATCTCTCGACATGTTAAAGGCAAAAACAG